GGAGGTGATCTCCATGGATGCCACCTACCAGACCAATCGCAACAAAATGCCATTTATAAATGTGATTGGTACCGGAAATGTTGGCGTGAAGGCGTTAAGAAGCTTTTGTGTAGCTGGAGGATGGGTCTCGAATGAGACCACAGGGTCGTATATGTGGTTTGCTCAACAGCTAAAGTCAGTTGTTTACTCGTCTTCGACAGCGGTTTATCCAAAAGTGTTCGTCACAGACAGTGAAGCGGCATTAATGACTGCGCTTGATTCCACTTTCCCTGAGTCTACGAAGATACTGTGTAAAATCCATTTGCATAGAAACTTCAAGACGAACCTTCGAAAGCTTTTTGACACTCAAGAACAATGGGACCAGGTAGAAAAGGCGCTCAACCTTTTGATGTCTAGCTCTTACAAGGACAAGTTCGATGATATGATGGAGAAGGTGTCCGATGTAAAACTAGAGCAAAAGGCGCTTACTATGTTTGAAAATGCAATACTGTGTTGTTCAGACCCTGAAAAGGCACGAAGCTACTTGAAAAGGTAGATGATTAGTGTACCTTTGAATGTTGTCCAAATCCTTGTGGGGCTTTATGATTGATCTAGCTCATATACTCTTTCTATAGTAAACTTGCCTTTAGGGAAAAATGGGTTGGCAGTGAGACTGGCCAACTGCGACACCTTGGAAATACCAGTACCAACCAGGCTGAAGATGCTCACGCCGAAATCAAAAAGTACATCGATCCATCCAGCAGCCTTCATCTTTCTTTCACACATCTGAATATGTGGTATAAAGACAAGGTATATATACATACGTTTTGCTGAGAAATGTTCGCATCAATTCATGTTGTTGCATACTTATATTTAAGTATCGGCACGTTTGGGGTTTGCGATAAGCAATACTGTGTAATTGATGATAGACGCTTTTGTAGAACACCAACTGGAATCAGCAGGTTGATAAGGAAGCATTGAGTGCTAATTCTCATCTTCCTGAGGCATATAAAACGCGACTTGAGCTCCTCAGTCGTAATATATCTGGCTTTGCTTTTGAAGCCATCAAAGACCAGTTGAGATTTTCGAACGTGCTGAAGACGATGCATTGCAAGTGTGCCTTAAAGATCCATTACGGAATACCATGCTGTCATATGTATCCAGCTGACGGGCCCATTCCATTGTCGATTATCCCTCGGCGTTGGCACTTGTTCCCAGAAAAAACAGCATCGAATCTCAATGGTATGGCTATTGCAGAGTTTAAGACAATGGTGAGTATGTTCACCGACGATTTATGAGCCGGTTTTCTTTTCTTCTTTTTTGCAATAGACGAATTTGTCGATGTGCTCTCTGCACCTAACGTTATAGCAGTTGTGGACGACCACGAGAAGCCAACGATCGAAAAGCAAGTCGCCGCTGAGCTTGTCCGGATTGAAAACCTAGGATTCAATCTCCAAAACCAGCAGCAACTAGCAGATCTTTTGCATAAATTGAAGGCAATCAGTAATGATTCGTTCATTGATATGCATGAACTGCAATCTCCACCTGTGCCAACAAAGAAAACAACAGCTCGCACTACTGCAAATAACGCCAGCAGCAGCAGCAGCAGCCACAGCAGTAATAACAACAAACGCTTGCCAATTACACTCGAAATCCAAGATGAGCAAAGCAAGAAAAAGGCCAAGACGGGCTTCGGAGCTGACGCAGCAGCCACATGGTATGTACCAATCATTCCAGTGTATAATATAAGCTGATTGTGGTGGGCCGTTAAAATAGGGAAGGAAAGGGCAAGGATCTGGCGGTGCCATTGGCTGGTGTCTTAAGCACCGATGTACCCAAGCAGCAAGTCGCCACTATTGTTAGTCCTCAGCCTGATGGTAATTGTGGTTTTCGTGTCTTGGCTTTGGACTTGAAAAACGATGAGGATATGTGGCCATCCATCAAAGACGATATGTTTGTGTTTTTGCAGCAGAATCGCGCTATTTTCTTACATCTCTTTAGAGAAGATGAACTGGCTTCAGTGGAGCATAAGTTATCCGATCGCTCCTCTCCTTGCAATACTGCTTCATATTTCAATCATTCTTGTGCAATTCTAGCTGCCAATGCGTTCTCAAAAGCCATTGCTTGGTATTCTGTTGAATTCTCAACTCTATACATACCTTTCCTTTCCGCTCCTACAGGTAAACCTATCAGTATGCAGTTGAGCAATTTTCATTTCTACCATGTCTCTTTTAGACCAGCTGCCCAAGTTGTGTACCCTTCTGTCCATCGCTCCCATAATCTCTTTTGTACCCGCCACAACTTCACCAACCATTCCTACTTAATCGACCACAGAAAATAGACCTCTTCCCTTCTCTCTTACTTTAAAAACGTCAAACAACCAGCTCGCAAACAGAAATATTGCTACAAGATGTGTAATCGAATAATGTAAGCAAAAAGAAAATAGTGTCAAAGAAGTGTACTAATTATCAATCAGACCATGAAAACATGATATATTATGTAAACACCCATAATACAATAGTTATGGTCTTGCTGTAATCGTACTTTTGCAGCACTTAGATTTATAAGAAAATCGAAGATCACTTTAAAGAAGAACCGGTACTTTACTGATAGTTAACAAGTAGTCTAGTTACCTTGAACAATAACAGATAGACCCATTATAAAGATTTCATTGAAATACATGCCTCCTCTCACCCCACCCGCCATGCCATTTCACCTCCGAAAAGCTAGTCACTACCCGAGGGGTGGTGCAGGTGGGGCGGTGCAATTAGCCGTTCCCCATTTTAGTAATTGAGATAGCGAACCGTGTGTCTACAATTTAGTAAAATGGCGAACCGGGTGTCTACAATTTATTGAGATGGCGAACCAGGTGTCTACAATTTATTGACATGGCGAACCATGTGTCTACAATTTATTGAGATGGCGAACCATGTGTCTACAATTTAGTGACTTGGCGAACCATGTGTCTACAATTTATTGAGATGGCGAACCGTGTGTCTACAATTTAGTGACTTGGCGAACCATGTGTCTACAATTTATTGAGATGGCGAACCGTGTGTCTACAATTTAGTGACTTGGCGAACCGTGTGTCTACAATTTAGTGAAATGGCGAACTGGGTGTCTACAAATTATTGAGATGGCGAACCAGGTGTCTACAATTTATTGACATGGCGAACCATGTGTCTACAATTTATTGAGATGGCGAACCGGGTGTCTACATTTTAGTGACTCGACGAACCATGTGTCTACAATTTATTGCACAAAATTCCCTGCTGAAAATTGCCCGGTAAAACCTTTTATTTGCGAAAGTTAGCAGTTTTCGAACCAGAGTTAGTCACTAATTTTGCTAACTTTCAATTTAGCTGACTACCCCCTTTTGCCTAGGTGCCATTTTTCCGCCCATATATAATGATAGAAACACCTGCTTATTGTATGTCATCACATACAATGTGTACTTTTTTTACTCTCAAAATAATTGTTCTACAGCAGCCTAAAGGTATGACTGTATGCATATATGTGATAAGAAAAACATGAATGGAATTAATATACTACAGCTTACTATCTATTGATTCTAACAGACAGACAATTTAATAGTGTTCTGTGTTTGCTCATTGTTACATAAAAAAATTGTGAGAAGAGCCATTTATCATATGAGTTATAAATATAAACAAACAAATAGCTTATGGAAAATGGATTCTTTGCATAGTTGAAATGTGAAAGGTAACATAATAGCAAGTAAGGGCGTATGAACATAATACCGAGGCATAAGTAAAGTACAGTTATTAGCGTATGCAGTAATACAGGTCTTTACTCTGGCACATCATTTTTATCAAAATTTTCGTGGATGCCGAGCTCGCGCTGCAAGTCTTCAACGTTTTCTTGCCCGCTCTGCGCAAGCATCAATCTCATAATGATATCAGCGAAAGATATCATCAATCTGTCCTCAGGACATTCTTCCTCCTCGTCATCCTCTTCCGCATCGTTTTCGATTCTCTTGAGAACCAAAGGCTCTTCCTGCTCATGTTGTTGCTGGTAATATTGCCTGGAATGGCCGTGCACCTTCTTGTAGAGTTTTTCAGCCGCTGGTAACTTGCAGGAAATGAGGTTTTGATATGCTTCCCTGCGTTTTTCTTCTTCTAATGCTCTATAGATTCGCTTACATCTATTTAAAGCATAGGATTTAAGCTGCTTTTCTTCGTCCTAAAAAGCAGTTTTACATTGCAATCAGTACGTCAACCATATCTGACGTCTTTTTACTACATAAATAGGTTTATTGATACAACAAAAGCTCCTCAGTAGCGCGTTCTACGTTCATGAACTGTCGAAGGGCACGGAAATCGACATCTGTGATCGCATCTGGTTCCCAAAATGAACTATTATCGAAGGATTTGATGTCATTGGACTTCACTTCCTGAAAGCTAGGGTTCAGCGCTTTACTGGGGGAACATGCGATGCATAACGAAATTGCTAATGATGCTTTTGAGCGTTCTGTGGAATCTGGCTAGGGGCGCGTTAATGACACGGAGTACATGCCATAGTTTAGACAGTATAAGAGTGTTCAAAACCGTAGCTCTGCCACGCACCGATAATCCTCTTCCCAGATGTATGTTGCAATGGTTCTTAATCGTTGCGAGTAGACGATCTATGAAGGTCTGCAGTTGTGGGTTGGATGAGGAAAGTGGGTATCCTAGGTACACGATAGCGTCTGGCTTGGTGCGGTCATGGCATGTTGGAATGCCAAATTGTTGTAACCTTGTGTTCCAGTCAGGTTGCGGTGAACCACTGAAGGATATGGCTTGGGTTTTAGCCTTGTTGAATTTAGCATTGGAAGCTTGTTGGTATTTCTTTATATAATATACCACTCTGTTCACCATGGGAAGTTTGCTGAACAATCTGAACAATCTGAACCATCTGAACTTGGTATTCAAAACCAGCTGAGAGAACTATCTGTATTTGGCAAATTGTGTACCCAAACATAAATCTAAAATCAGGAGCGGCACCATTCATCAATTATTATAGGGTTTTTTAGCATAATCATAATTTATTATTTATCAATGCTATCATATAGTTGTTCATATATTTTTCCATATTAGTTTCGACGTTTGCGTTGTGGAGGCGGGAATGAAGGTGTTTTGCGCTTACCTTGCTGCAATCTGACAGTGTGTGATGCAGCGGGCTGTTGTGGTAGGGGAGCTACAGAGGAAGGAATGGAGAAGACGGCGGATGGAGAAGTAGGTTGATGTGATAGTGCAGGAGCTGATGATGGAATGGATGGAGAGGCAGTGGTAGGTTGTTCGGATTCTTGTGGTAGAAGGGGCAGTTGGGATAGTTGACGAGTCGAAGAAGAAGATGGTGATGGCATTGGGATGGATGGTGATTCTGAAAGGAGTGGTCCAACAAACTGATTCGATTAGAACACAATAAAATGTAGATGCTAGTTTGTTATCACTTACGTTTGTTCTTGACCAGCAGGATTCACTTGATCACTTGTCCTATAAAAGCATACTTTACTAGTATGCATAGTTTAACATAATATCGTACATAACTTACATTGACATAAATGATCCTTCAGTTTGCAATGTTGGTGCAGGGGAAGCTCCTCGTTGGCTGGTTAAGTCCATACGACTCCTAGTCATATCTATTAGTATAATCCATACGATTCTGTTGACCATTCATTTGCTTACATTGCAGACCGAGCACCAACCGATGAACCAGCATCAGAAACATTGGTGTTGTTTCTAATATTTTTGATTGTAAAAATAATGAGATTACACTATTGAATGATGACACCGAAATCACATATACCTGGTAATCGTTTTGAATACAGCATGGATAAAATAATCCACAACCCAATGCTGTTCACATTTGTCAAGAGGCAGCTTGTACATGTATTTGACATTCTCTTCGAATGTCTTCCATTCTGTCCTCTTGACGTGATCGGGAACCTCGCGATAAGTTGCAGCATGTGCACTTTGCAACCGTCCTCTTAGTCTTGAACTCATCGCTCAGCGAGTGGTACATAGCCACGGCCTTTTCTTGATCAAGGCCACCAAAGTCTTTCAAAATTGCACTATGTGCGACTTGGTGACCGTTTGGCTGTTGCCCATGTACTGCACCTTCTTGATATTCTCACTTGGAGAGAGCTGCGCAGTATGCGAAAGTTGGTACGACTGCGCCATCCGTTCACGTACATCTTGCTCATTGGTGAGAAGTTGTTGCAGTTGAGATTGCTGCGGATGAGGACGCTGCTGTTGCGGATTGAGACCCAACGCGTTTTCAATGTTGGTCATACGACGTTCCAGACTAAACAGACTGTCGCGAATCTCCGTAAGTACAGTGAGGAACGGTTTGTTTTGTAAAAAAGTTGGATGCTGGAAGGGATTCATTGCTAAAAAGAAGTAAGATTGATCGAAAAAGTAAAAGAGTTAGAAAAAAACAAAGTAAGAAAAAGCAGAAGCAAAAAAAAATCAAACACGTAAGAGGCCACCACCAATCGCTGCAGTTGGCCATAGACGCACAAGCCGTCTCCATAACTGTATCCGTTTGTTCAGTTTGCTCAGATGTTTTATCCTCTACTGTACGAATATAGAAGCCTTGTGTTGCAGGAAATGTTCAGTTTGTCTAGTTTGTTCAGTTTGTTCAGAAAATGTCTCATTGTGGAAATTTGTGTAACAATATTTGTTCAGTTTGTTCAGATTGTTCAGATTGTTCAGAAAGTTTCCCATGGTGGATCCATAGCCTTTCCTTAATCTCTCTCTGTCTGTCTCTATCTCTTTACAACAAAGTTGTACTGTGATGATAGAGCTCCAATAAAGATAATAAGGGACAAGATTAAGTATCGTTGAGATGATGTTTCATTCCAACAAAAGATAAGCTCTTTTATATTCTAGCTATTACTGTAAGACAGCAATAACAATTCATCCGACTAATGGATAAACTATGTGATAGAGGATGGATCAAGACGTATCAGAACTTCTCTTGAAGTCGTTATGTTAATCGGGCACATCTTTTAAATAGGCGTTAGCTGATGTAATGGCTGAGGTACCTGTTGATAGGTTCATTGTCCTGCTCACGTAAGGTGGATCATCTGAGTAAGAGGTTTTATTCAATAGTGTTTAGCCAGAATGCCGTAGTGTCCATACGCGTGTGCTATAATGCTTAGCCGACTATCTTATTGTTGATATCTTAAGCAGTGTATTAATGTGGTGCACCACAAGTACAATTGATATCATATAAATATATATCTACATTTATTAGTTTTTGAGGATAGAGTATAGTCTACTTTTTATATACTCCTAATCAATGTGATGCTGCGCAGTAGATGCATATGAATGTATTTCTGTGAGTGACATCCAAATCAATTCACTATATATACTTCCCAAAACCAAAAGAATTAATTCGGCTAAGCCCAGACATGTCCATAGTGCCGTTTTTTCCAAATGATTCGCGTCCCCCATTTTATTTCAGAGCTGCGCGAGTGACCAAATTTTTACTTAAAGGAGTTTAACATCCATTAGTTGCAAACAGTTATATTTTAAGAAATAGTTTATATTTATAGGCAATGAATATAATTAGAGAAACAATAACTGTATAGAGAAACAGAATATAAGAAGTAGAATTTTAGTTAATGAAATAATGAAACATTTATCACAGCTCTTGTAAAGAAGTAGCTGGCACAGCCATGTTTCAAGGAAATTCTTGAGTATTTGTGCCTGTAGCTGACAAGTCACAATGGAGTATCTGCTATCACTATTTAGAGTTTTTTTTGTCTACACAAGGAATGACAGATTGTAAGGAAAATCTGCAATTGGTGTAGGGAGAAGTTGTTTGGTCTACTGAAGGAGTGAAGATAGTAGAGGGGACATGTGTAACGGATGTCTAAACTCCTATATATAAAAATTTGGTCTACGCAAGGAAACATTTGGTCACTTAAGCAGCTCTGGTTGTTTTTTCTGTAAGGTAGTTTGTTATTGTAGTGAAGAATATTCAATATTCAAATAATGATACTGTATATCTGTTCAGTATATTTGTTGTTGATATTTATAAGATGATATTATTGATGATTTTTAGATCGTTTAGATGTGGGTGATAAAATTAACCAATCTTCTGAGCTTGATTCTGATGTTGTTGTGGTAGTAGTTGTTGTAGATGATGTGGATGGTGAAAATGGGTTGGGTGGTAATACAAAGGAGCCATGCTTGGCAACTTTTAATGGAATTCGAGCTGTTTGGTAAATTTCGAGTGTGGTTTCTATCTTCTTCTTTACTATTGGTGCCAATTCAATTAATGGGCTGATTCGTGCAACATAGTCTTTTGAACAACTTGGGCATTCAATTGGCACTGTGTGTCATATTCGAGATACATAGCCCTTAGGTGAGTCCATATCAAGCATTAATACTTGTTGACCTAAATTTAGTTATAATTCAGTAACAGGTTGATATGATAATGGGAATTGATTAATAACAATTAAATATAAGAGATAATCTTTGATGATCCTTATATTATTGTTTATGATTAATTCAATAAAGGAATCATTTTCATGTTAAAATTTATAAGTTATAAAAATATTAAATAATCTATAAAAATCAAGAACTTTAATTGTTAAACTTTTCTAGATATTATAATTATTTTTAAACATTATTAATCTGTTTTGATCAGGGAAAAGGAATCACCTTCAAAGTAAACAACATGGAATAGGCTAGACCTACTGAACTGACGCCTACTAGTTACATAATTTTTGATGAAATACAAAAATTAGTAGATCCTTGACATCTATTGATAACAAATTAATCTACTGTTTATAGTAAAATTATACTTGTTATTGCTTAGATCTCAATACCTCTACCCCAACCAGAATTATTGCTTACCAATAATCATATATCCTATCATGTGTACACGTCGTACAAGATTTGGTGCTCTTTCCACAATTTCACACAGCATGTCCTTCATGATGACTGGTATCTTCATACATGCATCCTTGAACTCTTTCGTTTCATCAGCCACTGATCCTACTTCCATACACCCAAGCTCCTTTAAGCCACCAGTATATATACAGTTCATGCGCCGACTGATTGCTTTGTGTTTTACTTCTTCAGTTGCAGACAGTTTTCGCTTGTTGTTAGTTTGTGTTGCATTAGCTTTGCTCGTTTTTTCTTTCCTATAACCCCCCAAACAAAGAATCTATGCCAATGTACTTAGTATATGACCTACGATGACTGTCCCTATTTACCATTAAATATTATTACCCTTGAGTAGCAATATTTGATCTAATAAAAATATCGTTCAGGAATCCCCATGATAGATACTGTTTGTCTAATTCCAAATATGTGCTTATATCCACATTATGAATAAATGGATAGGCTGTTTTCATCAACATCATTGCAAGCCAGGCTAACCACGGCTGTTTCTTTGGGTCATGCTCAATGGTATGAGAGTGGCTATAAACATCCTCAGTAGTATCCTATGAGATTCAATCATTAACAATTAAATTTGCTGTAAACAGCAATTTAATTATATTAATTGATTTCATGTCAAGCATGTACTAACTTTTTGAACTCGTTCTAAAAAATTATGTCACTAGTAAGGCGTCGACCGTAAAGGTCTAGCCTATATGTCTAAATATAAATAGTGTTATCTGTTCCGGATTAAACACATTTATATAAAATATATTATTTAGAATTATAATAATAAAAAATTAAAAAATTAAAATTTTTTTATTTTTATTATTTATAATCCACCGTTAATATTAATTAATTAAAGTTCTAACATATCAAGATTTGTTGAATATTTAATTATTAATGATTAACTCCCTATGAATAGAATAGCCAATAGAAATAGTATTATTTGAAGAAGAAAAAAAGAAACTGTAATAATCTAGAGAGAGAGAAAAAGAGAGAAAAGACTACAGAAGAACATTTATCATTATATTTTTCATTATCATTTGAACTTAATCTTTTTCTCTAATTATTAAAATTATTGTAATTTTATAAGTATTTTAAATTTTGCAAAGACAAAAAATTTTATTTTTTTATTAAAATTTAAGAACTTTTCTCTAAGAGAAGAAACCATAAAGAGTCACGTTATAAGTTTTAAATAACTTACACCTTCTAAAACTATAATTATATAGAAAATCATATTAAATAAATAAATATAATTGTTTCTCACAAGAATGGGAATCAATCAATAATAATTGATGATCCCTATATCAATAAAATCTTGATTAATCTATTAATTAATAATATATATATAAAAATATAAAAAATTTTAAAATTTTTAATGTTTTTGAAAATAATTTCATATATATTTCATCATATGAACATGATCTGAGTTTAAATCTATAAGAGTAATATAAATATCGTTTTTTTTTTCATATCTTATTACTTATTTTACAATAAATATATTAATAAAATTAAAAATCTAGTAGATTTTAATTTCTATTACTAATATATAAAACAGTGAATTACTAAAAAATAATTTTGGTATTCTACTGTTTAAAATATATTCTTTTAGAATATATCTAGATAGATAGGAAAAATAAAGAATAGTTTTTTTTCTTTCTAATAATATTAATATAAAAAATAGTAAAATACCATTTTAACTTTTTTTTAAGTATAATCATATAATAATATAATATGAAAAAGAACATTCATTCTTTTCCTTTTCTGTCTGGTCATATATCCAAAAATTTTATTTCTGAGATATATGTAATAGTAGAATGCCAAAATTATTTTTTGGTAATTCACTCTATCTCTAAATATTTTTAAAAAACGTTAAAAAGGTAAAATTTTTTATATTTTTATATAATAAGAATAAATATATGAATTAAATACAAGCAATTAATAGTTTTCCATTAACTATACTTTTATTAATTTATGAATAAGAATTAATTCTCAATAATAATCTTACCAATTCATTCAGCTCATTCAACGTTTCTTCAATAACATCATTGATAGGTACAAGGACTTCATCACTAGTTTCCTCAAGTTCTTTTAGCTCCTCTTTGGTGAACACATTTTCCCGATGTTCATCATATTTTAGCATCTTTTCTTCAACTGATATTACTTGATCAGTTTCTACCTCTTGACTTGCTGCTGCATGTTATGTTGCTTCCAAAATCTAAAGTCTATTTTGGTCCATTTCATCGAATAACGCTTGCACGCTTGTTTTTTCTTCTTTAGTTATCCCAAGGTTGAGATAACTAGTATTAGTCTTTTTTATGCTATTGGGAGATTTTTTTTTCGAGGGACTTAGATTTGGAGTAGATTTATTATTACTACTTTCGGTGTTGTTGATGTGCTTTCTTTAAAACTCTTTTTTGATCATTTTCCACGATGGATTTTTGACGGATCTATATAATTGCAAAGAGAATAAGAAGATTTGATTGATTTTTCGTTTGATTCACTCTTACACTATAAAATAATAATCATAGCAGCCAATGCTTTTATTAAAATAACATACCAACTGTATTTCATCACAGCTAAAAGCTTCAAGCTCTCTTGACCATTTTGTCATGATGTCATTGAATTTATCGCCTT